GGCTGGTGACCTATTCTCTATGGAATAGTGCATTAAACAAAGACCAGTGAAAACAATGATAGTGTCAAAGGCCACGGGACATTCCCAGTCTCCTCTGACAACTCCAATCAAGAATGCTGCGCTGGGAGCTACTGCTCCTATTCCATACCACACTCCTAGCCTGACGTGGGATCGGACCTTCCCCATAACCTCTTCTAAGGACTAGACCCTCCTGTGCTGGACGCTGGTCTCAACGGTAGGCTGAGGACCGCGCTCCCCTGGGGTGCTGGCTGCGTGAGCCAACGCGGACCTCCTGGAATCCAGTTCACTGGACAAGCTCATCGGGCATTTAGTTCTTTCAGCTAAAATGTGGGAAAGCTAATTGTTATTGGTTTCAGAAATTAACCTTTTTTTTTTTCTTAGATTCAATTCTTCACCTGACCACTGCTGTTCAGGAGTTCAAAAGTTCTGTGTGCATGACTTCCCACTCTGCATAGGCAGGAGACCAAAGTAACTGACTGATCGTTTAAGGAAAAATGAGGCAAAGAGATTCCAAGTAAAGCTCCTAGAACTCGCTACTGATGGTGGGAAAAGTAGAAACCAAGAATCCTCGGGGATGCTGCTCCTTACAGATCTCCTGCCCCCAGGGCTGAGGGTCTGTGTCCCTACACTCTGCTGTGACTGTTTTGGACAGCCTATGAGGTTGAGGACCTAACCCCCCAGAGCTGCTGGGCAGTGTAGTCTATGTAGAAATCTGCGCAAGGAATGGTGTACACCAGGAGTCCCAGCTGACACTGGGTCAAAGGCATCTTAGCAGATAAAAAGCTTCCAGACTATTGCCTTGAGGGCAAAGTATTTTTAAACAGAAAAGGCTCTGCGATAGACATCTCGTATTTTGGCAGTCCAGCAGCCACCTGCTCCATTTCTGCAAACTGTCCTTTGTTTGGGGAATAGCCAGGCCCCCACACCATCTTAATAGTAATAAAATACAATCCTGTCCTCATCACTATTCGCTGACCCAGGCTGGCCAGGCTATCTGAGCTGGGCCAACTGGCGTCCTTCCACAGAATTCACCAACTGCAACTAAGAAGCGTGGCCAACTCCGTGTGGACACTGTTAGTGGCCAGGTTCCAAAATGAACGAAAAAATCCAAAATGGTAGGAGAGGAGAGAAGACCTCAGTGGACTTCCTGGGTTCCCCATATACCCTGATTCTAGTCTGTCTCTGTATACATCGAGCCCTTTAACAAGAGTCTACTTTTGCAAAAGCTAGTTCAGATTGAGTTTCTATCACTCATACGGAGACTTTGGTCTTGAAAAATTGAGAACTAGTCTAAACTGAAACAACCACATTGCTGTAAGGACACCCACATCTCCTAGCTCCTTAACATCTAGATACTTCTTATCTGTCCTTATACTCTCCACAGCACTTTATACCTAACAGACATCCAGTAAACATCTGTTAAGTGTGATCTAAAAATATTCTCTGATGTAAAAATAATAATCATCGTCAACTACTTTTTTAAAAGGCCCTTTCGGTCTATAGCACAATAGCCATCCATGTGACCCTTGCAGCTTTCCAAATAGACCCTCTGGGGAGAGGACAAGGACTCACAGCTGTGCAGATTCCGCAGACAGGGGTTACTAGAACAGGTGTTGAAACTTGGGAGTTGAAACCACAACTCTCCAGGCAGAGCAGGACATCACCAATCATGGGACAGAACCTTCTGCCCACAAGGGCTCCCCCTGCCCCCTCAGCCCTGGACACCAGCACCCCCAGGCTCCACCCTGGGGGTCCTTACGGTATCTCCTCCCTAGAGATTGCACGGCTCCCTCAGCTGCAACCACTGGCCATCCTTATCTCTAGGCCAGAATCTCTCCTCCGGCCTCTAGCTCCACATTCTGAAATGTTTAACATACTCTTCCGCTGATGTAATAGCAAACCACCTTCCTCCAGAAAGCAGCCCCTACTCCTGACTTCCCATGTGCTGCAATGAACCCCACTTCCCCAGTGATTAATTATCAAGCTTCAAAATGTCACTGAATATTGCCACACAATGGGACACTGTGCAGTCATTAAAGTCAATAATATATATTGACTGGGAAAATGTTTGAAATGTGTACTCCCAAAAAGCAAACAGGAAGGTATAATGTGATCTGTGTGTGTGCGCGCGCGCACACATGCACACAGACAGTTGAGTGCAATGGTTAAACAGGGTTTTGTAGCCACACACATCTGGTTGAGTCCGTGACCTTACAGTGAAACTCTGAGCATCAGCTTTTTTTAAAATATAAAATAGACTTTGGGCACCTATCTCATGGAAAATGTATAAGGTTTAAATAAGACACCATATGGAAAGTATTACATTGTACCTACACAGGAGAGATCCCAGAATTTCTTATTTATTTATTTATTTTTTTGAGACAGGGTCTTGCTGTGTTACCTGGGCTAGAGTGCAGTGGTGTGGCTATAGCTCACTGCAACCTCAAACTCCTGGGATCAAGTGATCCTCCTGTCTCAGCCTCCTGAGTAGCTGGGACTACAGGCGTGTGCCACCACGCCAGGCTAATATCCCAGAATATTAACAGTGATTATTTCTAGATGTTAGGATTGTGATTTTTAATTGTTTTGCTTAGTTGCGTTTTTCATAAAAAAGCTTAAGTCAGCTTTTGATTTCTCTTTTACTATCTTCCCTAACCCTGATATTGAATCAGCAATCCCTGAAGCTTCTGCTCCAGAAAAGTGTCTCCCATGTGTATCTTGTTTCACACTGGCAGGACCCCACCCCGCTGAAGGCTCCGTCACCATTCCCATGCACATCCTTAGCATCTTCCTGATCAGCCTCCGAAAGTCCAGCTCTCCCTCTCGCATCCTGCTATCAAATCCATTTCCTCCAAGTCCAACTCGGACCATGCGGATCTCCTGCTGACAGCTCCCTCCTTTGTTACCTTGGCAGCCCACCTGGTCTACCTGCCCAGCTCCCTCTCGCTCACACTTCAAACTGGAGCCAGCTTTGCAGCTACCTTTCCAGTGCCCTTTCCCCTTGCTGAAAACTCCTGTCACCTTCCGAGGTCTTCTACTCCACGAGAGGCCCACCCATCTCATTCCTGCTGCAAGTTGTTCCTCTTTCTGTGCTTGCAATGGCTTTTTTTTTTTTTAACAGCATTTATCACCTTCGGCCATGACTTCTAGTTATGTCCCTTATTACAGATTTGACCCCAGGCCTTCCAATTAAACAGATCAACACAAACTATCTGCAGATTACTAAGGAATGAACTCCCTAGCTCTTACTCTGCTGAAGTTGCCCTTTCAGACCCCAATGCCCCATTCGTAAATCACTTAAAAGGCCAAAGGACCAGAGTATTTCAAAGACCCTGTGACATTTCTTGAAAAGGACTTGTCAAGGCCTGTAGCCATATCTTATCTTTATCTCAGCTAACCATCAGGCAGAACAAAGATGGCTGTTTATTTTCCTTGTGCTTCAAATAGGCTTAGAGAGAGCTCTGGTCCAAGGCATAATTATAAAGAAGATTGTGGCTGTACTTCAGTAACACCAGGAGGGACCTGGAAAAATACTTCTGGGAATGGCACGTTGACTCCCAAGCCACACAGCAAGACGCCAGAGCATGTTTATAAACCAGAGCTTCACAACAGGAGTGGCCCTGAGGTTTTCCTGTCTCTCGTTCAAGTACAGACCTTAAACAACCAGAGATAGTCTTCCTTTTCACTCTCATGTTTATGCTACGTCCAAGTTTAAGACTGTAAACACACATGGTGTAGATTTAAATTTTAATTCAATTTAAAGCAGCTATGCCATGTTCATGTCAATGAATGCTTATTAATAAATACAAAGGGTTGGCCTGGAATGCAAGTGGTTCTGTAAGAAGCTTTAGAAAATCTTTTCGGAGAGAACTGGAAATCACTTCAGTGACAGCTACAGAGTAGGAAGACAATATCTCATTGATTAAAAAGTGTTAAAGGCTGCTTTCTGGATTCAATCAAGCCGTAGTTTTCGGAACAGATATGCTTCTGGAAAAAAGTATGTATAAATTGATTTTTTTCTAAACAGGATCTTAATGCACTAGATTTAGTTGTGATCAGGGGCCAGCAAGAGGGTTGGAAAGGAAGAAGTTTTTCTGTGTTCTTCTGGCCTGGCCTATGCTTGGCAGAGAAAGCGAGGGAAAAGCTGCTGTCGCCTAAATCCCTGCTCCTGTCCTACTTTTTGCGTCACCCTAAAATCTTGTGTCTCAGTCCACAAACACCTAATGTACTTCCCGAGGACTGAGAAAAACTAAGCCCCATTGTTCGGAGCTCAGAGAGAACCCGAAGAACTCACGTGGACTTCACCCAGACGGGGAGGACAGCCACCCCCACATTTTCCTGAACCGGGTTGGGCGATGGGCTTTGCCGGGCTGAGAGGGGCCAGGCCGCCTCGCCTCCCGCGCAGGGGGCGCGTCCGCTTTCTCGCCATCTGCGCGCCCGGGCCGCCCCGCAGTAATCGGATTCTGGACGCGCGGACTGCGGCGCAGGGGGAGGGGCCCGGGCCGTTCCAATCTGCTGTCTACACTCGCGGCGGACAAAAAGCCGTCCTCTTCAGGGCAGGAAAACAATCGCTCACAGCTCTTAACCCCTGGGCGCAGCGAAAGCCTTTCCTGCACCGGGGAAGTCTGTTCCACCCCGGGGAGGGGTGACAAAGCCGCCCCCGCCAGGCGCGAACCCCGCACCGCGCCTCCGGATGCGCGCTGGCTTCCGAGCCAGCGGGGGCCCGACCGAGGGCGCGGGGGTACGGAAAGTTGCCCTGCGAGAGCGGAGACCCCCCCCCCGGTGAGGTTCCAGTCGTGGGCACAAAGAGGGCAAGTACAGGGGCGCCCGAGAGGACGGTGCCAGCGCCAGGGGCCAAGCGCCAGAGAAGGGCGGGTGGGCGCAAGAACTTTCGGAGCAGAGCACGGGTCCCCGAACTTTCCCGGGACCGCGAATCCGGACTGCGGGAACCCTGCCTCCCGCCCGCCGAGCCTGCTCACCATCTCCTTGCGGAGCAGCGCCAGCGCGGCGTCCAGGTTGGGGGGCTTGGCGGGCCCCGCCGCGGCCCGGCCCCCGCCGCCGCCCGCGCCCCCGCGGCTCAGCTCGTCCTGGATGCGCGACTTCTGCGCGTACAGCCGCTCCAGGTGCCGCCAGCCCCCGGCCGCGCCGCCGCCCGACGCCGAGTGCAGCAGCCCGCTCAGGCTCTTGGGCAGCGGGGGCAGCCCGTCCACGCGCAGCCCCCGGGCCGCGCCCTCGCCCGCTGCCCCCGGCGCCGCCCGCGCCCCACTCATCGCGCCGCAGCAGCCACGCGCCCGCCTGCCGAGTCCCCGGCCCGCGGCTCCCCCGGCCCGCCCCGTTCCCGGCGGCGCCCCGCCCCCTTCCCCTGCCGGCCCGCCCCTCCCGCGGCCACGCCCCTCCCCGCGGCCACGCCCCTCCCGGGCCCTGCCCACTCCGCTGGCCCGGGGCTCCAGCTGCTTCTCCAACCGGCATCCCGGCTCGCCAGCAACCGGGTCCCTACCCTTTCTGTACCCCCTCAACCCCCTAGATTCATCTCCAGCCCCGCCCCCACTCTGTGCCACCTCACAACGTCCAGCTCACCTCCAGCCCCGTCCCCACCTCCTCTGGGCCACCCCACAACGCTCAGCTCACCTCCAGCCCCGTCCCCACCTCCTCTGGGCCACCCCACAACATCCAGCTCACCTCTAGCCCCATCCCCACCTCCTCTGGGCCACCCCACAACGCCCAGCTCACCTCCAGCCCCGTCCCCACCTCCTCTGGGCCACCCCACAACGCCCAGCTCACCTCCAGCCCCGTCCCCACCTCCTCTGGGCCACCCCACAACGCCCGGGCTCACCTCCAGCCCCGTCCCCACCTCCTCTGGGCCACCCCACAACGCCCAGCTCACCTCCAGCCCCGTCCCCACCTCCTCTGGGCCACCCCACAACGCCCGGGCTCACCTCCAGCCAGGTCCCCACCTCCTCTGGGCCACCCCACAACGCCCAGCTTCACCTCCAGCCAGGTCCCCACCTCCTCTGGGCCACCCCACAACGTCCAGCTCACCTCCAGCCCCGTCCCCACCTCCTCTGGGCCACCTCACAACACCCGGGCTCACCTCCAGCCCGGCTCCTGACGCCCCCCTCACATGCCGGGGCTCCTCGCCCCCCAGAGCCTTGCCCAGGCCCGCTCCACTCCCTACTACATGAGCCCCCCCCACCAGCCCTCAAAGCTGCTAGTAATTACCGAGCTTGGTGGGGCTCAGCTTCAGATCCCCCACCCCAAGAGGCTGGCTGCTGCGGGGGTGATCTGGCGTTGGAGAGGAGGCCTGGCCCCAGTCACAGGACCCTGCTCTCCTAGGGTGGGATCCAGACTGCCTCCTTTACTGCTAATGCCACGCGGGGAGGGCTGGGGACGCCCAGCTTTGGGCAGGCCCTTTGTGCAGCCTCGGCCCACGCCTTCTCAGTAAATGGCAGAGAAGCGGGCCAGGCCCACCTTTGGAAACTTCAAAACACCAACAAATATGTCCTTCAACCTGGCCACGGACACAAGAGTAATTCCAAGTGGAAATGTCAGGGAATTAGAGAAAGGCATTAAACCTTGGAAACTATTTTTCAACTCAGGCAAAAATAAACACGACTCACACCTCAGAAAAATGACAGAGAAACACACTCTGCCCCTCCAGGAAGAGTAAAAATGACAGACAGTTATAAACAGATTAGAGTCGCAAGAGACGAGGAAGGAAGCCCTACAACCCAACTGCAGACTAAAACCACTGTAGCATGTAGAGAGTGGGTAGCCTTAATGCCCGCTGAACATTGGTTTTAATTATAAAGGGATTAAATTGTGCTAAACACGTTCAATAGGATCATAATTATAAAGTGTTCTGAGCGCTTCAGACACTAAACATAAAAGATCCCTACACTTTGGGTAGCTTTTCCCCCTTTAATCTATACCCCCCCCCATAAAGCCCACTGCAGAAGCAAAGTCTTTGAAAGTGGTGTGATGTACTCCCGGGACAGTGAGTGACTGACAGTGGGTGAGACTGGAGAAGCTTTAGTGCAGGCAGTGCAATTTGAAGGCACCTGGGAGGCTTCCCACCCCACCTACTGCCCAGAATTTTCCACCTCCTCACTGTGCCTCACCTTTCACTAATTACCTAGTCGCGTTTCTGGATGTCGGGTATTCATTCATTCCTCCACTTAAACAGTGGGTATCGTGAGGAGAGTTACCATCCGCCTGTGTGGGAGTAGGGGAGAGGGAGAGATGGGAAACATTTTAACCTTTGGTTCACACCCTAGCATGAATTCCTTTGATTTCATTTGTCATCTTGCTGTCTCTCGGGCAGTAGCTGGCAGAAATTGCTCAAGTTAGGTGATAGGAGGTTCCATTATGCAATGGTGTAGTGAGAAAAGAAATCATTTCAAAGTGTCAGGGCATTAAAATCATTATAAAGCACGTACTTTAGAGGATTATGAATGGTAGAAGGAAAGAGACTTAGGGCCAGCTAGACAGTAGCATGAGGTCCCTGGTATCGGGACATGAGAAAAGAGGTCCAACTTAGATGATACCAGCCTCACAATTCTAAAGCCAGGCTCTGTATTTTGGTATATTAACTCAATGAGGTGAGCATATTGAAATCACTATCAACAAATAACATCCCAGGGAGAACAGAAATTTCAAAAGAATTTCTGTGGCACGGAAGACTTTGTTTGTATGAACTTGAAGCAATTATGCAACAAATATTTTGACATCCCTGGGGAGTGTCCGACAGTGCCTACTTATTCAAATGCCAAATAAAGTACCTTTTAAAGTTCATGCTCATAATGGGAAAGGAGTAACAAATAACTTATGAAAATATGTGGGTTTTGCTTTCATCCACTGAAGACACTGTCTTAGTTCATTCAGGATGCTTTAACAAAATAGCTTAGACTGGGTGATTTATAAAAGCAACAGAAATGTATTGCTCATAGTTCTAGAGGCTCGAAGTCTACAATCAAGGTGCCAGTTGATGAGGTGTCTGGTGAGGACTTGTTCCTCAGATGGCTCCTTCTTTGTGTCCTTGCATATCCGAAGGGGCTGGGGAGCTTCTCTTTTATAAGGGTGCCAGTTCCATTTACCGGGTCTTTACTTTCATAACCTCGTCACCACCCAAAGGCCCCACCTTTTAACACCATCACCTTAGGGGTTAGCTTTCAACATATGAATTTGTTGAAACAAATTCATACAGCAAGCGGCAATTATCTGACCTCAAACCAGAATGAGGCCAGCTATTTCCCATGCAGCTAAATCAGTCTTTTCTTTCCTGTTTTGTTTTGTTGTTGTTCACAGGCTCTGGGAAGTCACAAAAATACAGGCTTCTGATCCCGTGCTCTGTTCACTAACTCACGCCTCTTCGTAGACTTTGTAGATCAAGGTTGGGGACCCCACGGGCCTGGGAGCACAGCCCCAAAGCCACCGATATCCAATAACACTGGGTGGATTTAAATTTAGGTTTCTCAGCCTTTTTATCCAGGAGTACACTGACCTCACCTTTGAACTTCCAAGGGTCCACCTAGAGGGTTCTCATCTGCCCCCATCCTGCCCTTCCACTCATCCAGCCACTATTTTATCACCACCTCTAATTCCTGCCCATGTGATGTGAGCTTTCTGGAACTCCACAGACTCTTTCTGTGCTTTTTATCATTCTTAAAGTTTAAAAATGTAGGTTGTTGATAAAATAGAAAGGACCTGAAAACACACTGAAAGTCTGATTGAGCTTTCTTTTTACAGCTGGTGACTTTACATGCTGCTTAACCATAGAGAAGTTTATCATCTTCTCCATGGTAGTCATTTTTTACTTGTTGCAGGACCTAAAATCAGTTTACTTTGAGAGCAATCGTGCTATAAATTTGCACTGAATTTTAGCAAGTGTAATTATTTCAAGATGTAATTTCTTATATTTCTATCATTTCTAAAACAAGTTGTAAATTTAAAAAGCATACACAAAGCCTCTTAAAGATCTTTTTATGCAACGTATATATACATATAAATGGGACTAAGAACTTGGCATTTAATCATGGGCTCTTTTAGATGTTTTTTAATTTGTTGATTTGTTGGGTCTGAATGAGTGGTGAGTGAATGTGAGGGCCTAGGACACTACTGTATACTACTGTGGACTTTATAAACACTGTGTACTTAGGCTACACCAAATTTATAAAACAAATATATTTTTTCTTCAGTAATAAATTACCCTTAACTTACTGTACTATTTTTACTTTTTAAACTTGTAAATTTTGTTTTAACGTTTTGGCTTTTTGTCAAAAGCACTTAGCTTAAAACATACATAGCACAGCTGTACAAAGGTATTTTCTTACTTCCTATGGTTATTCTGTAAGATTTTTCCTACTGAAATTTTTCTTTTCAGTTTTTAAAGTTTTGTGTTAAAAACTAAGACACAAATGCACACGTTAGCCTAGGCCTACACAGGGTCAGGATCACCGATGTCACCGTCCTCCACTCCACATCTTGTCCCACCGGAAGGTCTTCGGGGGCAACAGCAAGCATGGAGCTGCCATCCGCTGAGATAGCAATGACTTCTGCATACCTCCTGAAGGACCTGCCCAAGGCTGTTTTGCAGTTAAATTTTTTTTTTTGTAAGTAAAAGGAGTACACTGTAAAATAATAATAAAAAGTATATATAGTATAGTAAATACATAAACCAGTAACAGTTTATTATCAAGTATTAAGTATTGTACATAATTGTATGTCCTATACTTTTATATAACTGGCAGCACACAAGGTGTGTTTACATGAGCATCACCACAAACACATGAATAATGCACTGTGCAATGACATTATGATGGCTCTGTCACTAAGGCAATGGGAATTTTTTTATTTTTTTTGAGACAGACTCTCGCTTTGTTGCCCAGGCTAGAGTGAGTGCCATGGTGTCAGCCTAGCTCACAGCAACCTCAAACTCCTGGGCTCAAGCAATCCTCCTGCCTCAGCCTCCCGAGTAGCTGGGACTACAGGCATGCACCACCATGCCCGGCTAATTTTTTCTATATATATTAGTTGGCCAATTAATTTGTTTCTATTTATAGTAGAGACGGGATCTCGCTCTTGCTCAGGGTGGTTTCGAACTCCTGATCTTGAGCCATCCTCCTGCCTCAGCCTCCCAGAGTGCTAGGATTACAGGCGTGAGCCACCGCGCCCGGCCTGCAATGGGAATTTTTAAGCTTTGTTATAATCTTGTGGGACTACCATCATAAACATGGCTTGTCATTCATTGAAACGTTGTTATGCGGTGTATGACTGTATTTGCATTTTTACATTAAAC